TGGTTCTAATTCACCTCATATTTATTCATCCTTTACTTCTACTCAGTGATCTTACCCATCATCTATCTAATCCTCAAAACAACCCTACAGGAGGAGATGAAACTACCCCTCCCCATTTTATACATTAAAAAAACCCCCAAAAAACTGTTTCAGAGAAGTTGACTGTCTTGTCCAAGGTCATCCTGCTAGTGAGTCCCAGAGCCAGAATTCAAATTCAGTCCTCTCTGACTCCTGAATTTAATTCTCCTAAGACTCCAACAGGGAGGGTATTCTTGAGATGAAAGGGATACTGGTTATTTGTTCCAAATGGCTTTCTTCTCAGGATCTGGAAGCATTTAAAAAATTTCTTTCCTTTCTTCCTTACCTCTCTTTCTTCCTTCCTTCCTTCCTTCCTTCTTTCCTTCCTTCCTTCCTTCCTTCCTTCCTTCCTTCCTTCCTTCTTTCCTTCCTTCTTTCAATTGTTTGTTGACTGATTTAGAGTAGAAGAAATGCTATTCCTGGTCCTATTAAAGTATAAGCTCTGTGAAAGCAGAGATTGTGTCTGCCTGAAAACAGAGAGTGGCTCACAGCAGCTTCCCAATCAATACTTGCTGAGTGAATGGCAGTGGCTTTCTGAGGCTAGTGTGGGGTCCCTTACCCTTGCAAGACTGATCCTTTGCCCTCGGACCTTGCATGGAACCTAGCTTTGGACATCTTCCATCACTCTGCTCAATGACCCATGTCTTCCCAAGCTCACTTCATGGCCAACATCCTCTCTCAGCAACAGACCCCCTATCTCATGACCTCATCTCCTCACTCTGTCACCAGCAAAACCTCACCTCAGGTTCAACATATTTGGGAAGGATTGAAATAAGCCAATATTAGCTTCAACTAAGACGTGGAAGGTGGGGGGTGTGGAAGCTCCACAGTGGTGGTTCCCATGATCACATGACTACATTGTACCAGGTACTGTACTAATCACTCTGACTCTTTATCCTGTAAACTCGGTATTATTACCTCTATTTTCAGTAAGACAACTGAAAGTACCTTGTATGAGATCACATAGCTGGTACACCACAGAGTCAGGATTTAAACCCATATTGGTCTGATTCCAAAGTTGCCAGGATTAGTACACTTTTACAGTGGTCATTGACTTTACCCCAAAGGATGTTTAGGGCTGCAAAGACAACAGAGCAAAGCCAAGGGGTACAGATGCATCCAAAACCTTTCCTAAGGTTCATAGAAGATGTCTACTCTACCTGTTCATTCAGGGACACTGCTCCTTAGATGTTCGGTCCCATATTTCCTTCCAACCCTTGTCCTTCATCCAGATACATTTCAGGGTTAGTTTTCTGTAGTAGAACACACAATTGAAAATTCACTTCATGTTTCCCAATTCTGGATTCTAAGTTCGAAATAAGAACTAACTTTCTCCCTATTTCCACCAAGAAGGATGTGGAGGAGGAAAAGTAAGGGGAGGAGAAGAAGGAGGAGGAGGAGGAAAGCACCACTTGAATTCCTGACCATGTTTATTGAAATTAAAGCTAGTATTATCTTGGGTACCAAGCACTTGGAGAAGTCAATGTAGCTGTTGTTACCTGAAGAAACCAAGGTATAGGAAAACCATAGTCAACTTGACATATGAGGATGTGTGTTCAAGCTTTAGTACTACCACTGCTCAGCTCAGGGGAGGTGTTCCTCCAGTAGCATGCCCTTCGCTTAACAGATTCATTGAGGTAACATTTGCAAAAGCCTCCTACCAGACTAAGGGACCAAAAGTGAGCCCTGAGTATTCATGGAACCACACCAATTAGCTGAGCAGTGGTAATCTATATTAAAGCACAAAGAAGCACATGACTAATCAGGTGAGTGACCTTACCATACAGAAACCCTAAGGGAGAGACACAAACTAAATGCTTTATTTTCCTCATTAATAGTAGAATCGGGGTTACTGCAATGATGTAATTAAAAAATCAGTTCATAGCTGATGGCTTTTATCGCACATTCCTCCAACTTAGAGAGTGGTGCACAGATGTGAGTCTCACTTCCTGCTCTGAACAAAATCCAAGAGCCTTCCTATAGGTCCGTTGCTGTCCTGGCATTTAGCCCAGCTGCCAAATCTCAAATGTGTGCAGGATCCATATGAGGAAAGTGATGCTAATTTTAATCTCTGTTATATTGGATTAGACTAACTCATTGGTCAGACTAGCTCAGCCATTGCTCATAGATTGACTGACTAAAAGCACTTTGGGATTAAATTGCCATATTTTCTGATATGTTTAAGCAGATCTCCTCAAACCTGCTGAAGAATAAACTTCTTGAAGCTGCATTGAGAACGTGACCACAGAAAAGAAAATCTGGGGGCCCAAGAATGTTTGGTGGCCTCTTGTTCTCTTAGGAGATGACACGCTGAGGTGCAAAAACCCAGAGTGGTGATGGTTTTGTACCAACTGGAAAGGGCCATCTGGCTGCTCACCAGCTGTCCCTTCTAGCACCAGATGTAGAGTCTCCATTCATACAATAACTCAAAATGCTAATAGGAGAAAGGCCTTAGGTCATCAATCCCACCTCTTCTCCTTTTGTAGATGGGAGAGCGAAGGCCAGAGAGGGGGTGCCAGTCAGCTAGGGAGCAGCAGAATCACATAGAGAAACTGGGTCTCCAGATTCCTAGCCAGTTATTCCTCTCACTATGTATTGCTGTGGTCCTTGGAAAACATGCACAAGGGGTCATTTTCCACAGAAAGGAAGTCGAGTTGTAACAATCCAGGGTACAGACTTTATAGACAGAGTGACTCTGTTCTAATCCAGCCCTGTGTATAAGTTGGGTGACCATAACAAAGCACTTAACTGCTCTGTTCTTTAGTTTCTCCATTTATAAAATGGGAATGTCATGGCTAGTGCATAGCTCGTAGCATTTTGTGAAGATTAAATGAGCTAATATTTGTTTAGCATTTAGAATCACACTTGCCACACAGAGAGCACAATGTAAATACATGTTACCATCATCATCCTAAGCAAGCTGAGCAGGCTTTATGTCTGCTAAGTCACCCTCACGGTTTCCATTCTATGGAACACGCAACTGAAGTTTAACTGTGGTTATAAACCCTCTGCCTGATCAGTAATGAACATCTTATTGCAACTGCCACACACCACCAGAAATACTCATTTCTCTTTATGATTCTGCCTCCTTCTCTCTCTGTACCTCACCGTTCATGCTTTGCCTTCCTCATATACTGCTTTTTTCTGCTTTGTTTTAGCTATATCCAACCTTGTGCTGGTAGCATGACATCCAAAGCAACGCTTAAATACACTAGTAGAACTTGGAATAAAGTGATTCCTACACTAAAGCTCTCTGTCTCTCTAGAGTGGGGCTTATTAGGTCTTCAGTTGTTTCTTAAGTTAATGTCAGCATCATGAATTAGACAAAGACACACACACACACATATAATTAGTTTAATGTAAGTCCTCTCTATCTTCTTCAAAAGATAAATGATTTAGATGTTTTAATGAGTTTATAAAGAAATGAGTGATGCAGATTCGTTAAACATGTTTCTATAAAAGTATCTGTCTATAGATAGATATAGAAACATATGTCTTTTATAGAAACATATATGTCTAACAAATCTGCATTGTTCATTTCTTTATAAACTCATTAAAACATCTAAATCATTTATCTTTTGAAGAAGATAATATAGAGAATTATTTTGAGCTCCAACTTGGGCATTTTTCAACTCAGTACATTCTGTAGGCCAGTATGGTTCTTTAAGATATATGTCTTGACTGATGGAGGCCCCAGAGTCAGGCTACTTTTCGTAAATGTGTATGGAACCTTCATGGGGATGATAGCACTTGGCTCATGCCTGGATCCTGCCCTTGTCTGTGAATACTCTATAACAAAAATGCACAGCAGTATGAGCCAGACTCTCAAGCCAGAAAGTAAATGTGAATCTTTAGTCAATAGGAGAATTGTGTACATTGGAAACCAGAGGAAGAAAAAGTATCCATATGGAAATCCCTGGACTTGGAACAGTTACATGCTCATTGCTGAAGTGAGAGGCCTATACTTCCCCAAGCAAAAGGTTAGCACCAGCCTCTTCCTAGGCAAGGCAGGGATCCACACCATCACACTGACAAGCCAGCCAAATGACTACGGTTCTGTTTTGAGGAGACCCTGCACCAACTATGCTTCTTAAAGTAATCATGCTTATTTCCAATAAGCCTATTTACTTCTGAAAGCAAAGGAAGTCCTGGCTTAAGAGGGCAAAAGAGGCATGCTTGTCTTGTCTGCAGCTCCTTTTCTTTCTCACTGGCTGTACAGGAATACCTCTGGATGACTTCTTAACCCTGTCTTATATTTAATTCCACGTTCCCTGGAATATTCTCTGCTTGCTAGCTGCTGGTCTTGCTTATGACTCCAAATTCTTATGGCTTGCAAATAAAGGTGATGGAGGAATGCAGAGGTGAATTAGACCCTGATACACATGCTCTGGGTCCTTAGAACAGGCTAGGGCAATCCCACTTCATGTGATTTGTCTTCTTGAGGGTGGCAAGGGAAGTGAAAGGAGCAACACTTGTGACTCGATGGTCTTGTTTTACAGTGGAGCATGGGTGACTCACTAGGGCATGTAAAAGTGCCAGAGAGACCAGAAGAAAGGGTAGAGGGAGAAGTCCATCAGGCCACACCATTAGGTGTCAATTTGAACAGAACACAGAGTCTTCTTTCCGGCCTTCAGAGAGGCCCTCCTCTACCCCTTTTATTTTTTAAACCCTTTGAGAGCAGGCTATAGTGTTTAGGTACTTCAATGAGTCACCCTTTTGGGTTTCTAAATACTCCCACTAGATGTTTTCCATTTGTCCCGATTTGGAAGGATCAATGGTGGGACGTGGGAGATGGGGGGATGCTCACAGAGAAGCATGTCTATATATATATATATATATATATATATATATGCTTATCAGGGAATAAGTATGGTACCCTTTGGGTGCATGCTAATGGATCTGTCTCTCTTTCCCCTACACAGGGCCTGGAGCAGTCATTGATGGTGTAAACTCGGCTTCTAGAGCACTGGCTTGTCTCTGGCTATCAGGGACCCTCTTTGCCCACTTCTTCATCAAGTTTTGATAAGAAATCATAGGTCCTCTGAGCAACGCCTGCTTCTCCATATCACAGACTTTAATCTACACTGCGGAGGGCAAACCAGTTTGGGCTTTTTGTTTGTTTGTTTCTGTTGTTCTTCTTGATTTTTTTTGCGGGGGGGTTGATTTATTTGATTTTTTTTCTCCAGTTTGAATGAGTGGGGTTGGGAGGAGGGGTGGGCAAAGTTCTACCATGTGTAGGATAATCATTCACTGGTGTGTCCAAAAATGGAATCTGTCCCTGCTACCTTGGCCTTTCCCTTTCCTCTGCTCCTCTCCTCATCATCCTCACTACCAGCCTCCCTTCCCCCCACACACCAAACCATAAGCTCCATTTGGGCAAAAACGTGCCTCATGATAAACACCCTGAAGACACAACTTGACTTATAATGTAGTGCACAGCAAGAGTTATATCCAAGTGTCCTATTATCTGTGTCTTTTAAGCTTTGGGCCATTTTCCTTATTATAATGTACATATCCCTCCCTCCATGCTTATTATTATCTAATTACATTCGGGTTCACATCCTTTCTTTCTGGGAAGGTATCTCAATATACCCATATCCATCTATATATATATATATTTTTTTTTTCTTATCTCCTTCTCTAGCCACTCTGCCCTATTAGCTTTCTCCATCAGCTATAGGGATTAAAGGTTTGGGGCTATGCACACAACCCAAAAGTAAAAGTTTAGAAGTCACTTGACCAAAAAAGGGGGAAGCACTTTGAGGATAGTACTCTTTAAAAAATGTTGTCTAACTCATAAAAAAAAAGATCCATAGATGACTCTTTAAAAAATGTTGTCTAACTCATAAAAAAAAAAAATGATCCATAGATGCCTGATTATTTAGGGTTTATCAAGCTATTGAAGCAGTTATATGGTTATCCATCTACTCAATTGTTTGATTTATCTCTCCCTCCAATTATCTACCCACCCATTTTCCTCTGTAGCAATCTATTTACTGTTTATCAATCTATCAATGTAATTATCTAACACTTCTTTCTATTTCTTTCCCTAATACTATCAATTCATCACCATATTAATTTCTAATCATATCATGTCTATTCCATTGTATTCATTTGTACTCTACCTTCAGCAGACATTGGCATCTTCAAAAATACCTATCGACTTTCTTATGAAAGCCAGTGGTCTCACAGGCTAACAACATAGAAAAGCAATATGTCAAGGACTCTTTGGAATGTGGTATCCTATCCATCCAAAGTAGTTAACAGATGGACCAAAGTAGCAATCTAAGGATCAGTCACTCACTATTCCCAGAAGAGACTGTGTTTCCAAAAGCATCTTCTTGGGAAGCATATCAGCCCTGGAAAAGCCTTGATCAATACTGTGGGCTCTTTTTTTTTTTCCTTTCACACTTGAAGGACCAAGGTGGCAAGCTTCATGTTTCTCTCAGCCTTTCAAGAGAGTGTATGTCGGGAACCCATGGGACTTACTCCACGGCTGGCTTTTCTTAATAGCAAGAACATAGAGAGAAAACACATATCTGTCCCTGTAGTGTGACGAGAGCAGTCCACCTGTCTGAGTGCAATGACTTCAGCTATTGTCTCCTCCCTGTTCCAGTTTTGGTTTAATCTGTTTGAAAACTATCCAGTATAAAGCTGATGGAAGCCAATTACATGGCGGGTGTGTTGACAACTCTGGTATTTGTTTCAGGAAGCTCTTCTGAGCTGAGGGCACTTGAGCAACTGACTTAATTTCCAAGCACTTGATTAACACAACACTGCAAACAGGAGGGGAATGTGTAAATGACACACAATTTCCTCTGATATAGACCGCTTCTCCAGTGGCTCTGGGGAAGAATGTCCTCAGTGTTCCATGTTCAAATCAGATCCAGCAGACAAATAAGAGCTGACTGGACTTTATTGCATCATCTCCTGGGACAAGAAGGACTCAGACAGCAAGGGTGCCTATAATCTGAAAGAATGGCATTGAAAACCATGCAAAGTTGTGCCCCTCTTTACCTATACCACAAGGACTGACCTACTGAGAGGATGAGAAAAAGCATCAATGGTGACTGTCTCACAGACCTGCCCTGCCTCAGTTGGAAAACTTTCAGGTCCACAGTCTAAATAAATACGAGCTTTATAGAGCTCCGTTCTCTAAATGCTTAATTGATCTTCTTCCTCCAATATAAATGGCTTCTTTGTTTTGTCCATAATGGCACATGAACATGACATAAACAGGCGGGGAATATATTCTTAGATATATATACATGCATAAATAGATACACAAATTCAAAGGTAGGCAGTCTTGGCATACAAAAAGCTAGGCACTTTCATAAAAGTTGGAGCTGGTACAAGTGGAATTAATATTACATTTGCCAGCTGTAAACAGACATCTGCATTTCCTAGTGAGCTGCCAGGAGCCAGATTCTGGAACATGAATGACGTGCCAAAAGCAGTGTATTGATTCCAAGTTCCAGGGACAATCAGGAGCAGACGCAAAGTCAGAATTAAAGGTCGGACATCAATGTTTCAGATCTGTCATCACGTTCAGCACCTGGAGTCGGGTTGGTGTCAGACATTGTATGGGAATTCAGTGTGTCATTTGAGTGTTCTACTGATAATAAATGTGTTACTTTGGAGTAAAATAAATGTGGAGGCTCTGGGGAGTGGATGGTCTTGGAGAACACAGCGCTTGAAGTGGACAAGCTATACGTGTTCTTCATGCCAAGACTTGTTCTAGAGGAAGGGACCCATCCTTATTTGACCAGGAAGATCACCAGAACTTGTTGAATACAATAATAAGGCTGGGTCTCAGTGTAATTATGGAACTCTATGCTGCCTTCTTCCACTGGATATCAGGAAACATTTCTGGTGATTACCTATTCCAGCCATGTTTCAGAGGGAAAAAAATCCTACAGTCAATCCTCATCAGTCTGGGATCAAGAAAACCAAGTAAATAAGACCCAAGGAAACTGGGCACTAAGAAAGAAAATGGCTCTTCATCTCTTTAGACATACTCCAGCTTCTGTGTTGTTTGGGTTACTTTCTTACATAGAAGAGTAGCCGTTACCCAACATTTGAAGCACATAGAACATTAAATGCTTACTAAAGACAATATCCACACTCACATATGCTTTTTCAATTTCCCATGGAGGGTAGATGGATAAAGCCTGCTGGATAGATTTTTTTCAAGGTGCCAATGATAAGGGATAGGGGCCGGGGCTATAAAGAAGATAAGCAAAACTCTGAACAACCTATGACTCTTCATAGGCTTTCCACATGGGAAGGAAACCAACTAAGGCTTATCAGGAGATTAGGTGAGAGAAATGCAACAATGTAGTTACTCTGAAACCTTCCCCCTTCCCAAAACACAATTAATATGTATTTCCACCAAAGTAATGCCAATGAAAATGCTAGTGTTAAGGCTCTGGCCAAGCTTGTTTTTTGGTAGTTTAATGTCAAGTGCCTGATACAGTCATCTGCAAGTCTAAGCAAGTGTGTTTAATTTTTCTCATTCTTGTTTTAACTGGGGGAGAGGGGACGTATAAGTGAGCAGTGGTCAAAACACGCACATATGTTATGCAGAGGGCATTGTATACGTCTGTTCTGCTGCAATTGTGCTCAGTGGAACAGAAGGAAAGGTAAGGCTTTGTATCAAAAAGAGGGCTTAGTCTTTGTCCCCTGAAAGCTGTGCCTCATACTAGTTGATACATTCCACCGGTTGGGCAGTTCCTTCTCAAAACCTGGGTGGGAAGTATGCTTTGGGACTCCAGAAACTTCACAGCTGAGGCTAAATGTAGGTCCTGTTTCTGCATGGATCCAGTCAACTTGCTCTCAACATGGAGGTGCTAGCATGTTCTACTTATGTTGGAAGGACTCTTTTTGTGAAAAAAGCAGAGAACCTCAAAGTGAGCAGTCAATCTCAAAGAAAGCTTATCACTGCCATTGCATCAGGAGTGGATATAAATGGAAAGCTCTAGTTGTGGTTGGCGCTTCTAGTGCCAAAGGAAATTATTTTCTCCTCTGTAGTTGTGTATGGATGTCATAAGCCCCATCGGTAGAAGGAGGGGAGTAATGGCTGAAGTTGAAGTGGGATATGGGTGTGGGGTCATCTTTTCCAATTTGACCCTGAGTCCTCACCTGGAACCAGCCTACCTCCCCTCCCCATCTACCCCCTCAAAATTTTTTAATTTTTATTTTTTTAAGATTTTATTTATTTATTTGACAGAGAGACAGTGAGAGCAGGAATACAAGCAGGGGGAGCAGGAGAGGGAGAAGCAGGCTTCCTGCTGAGCAGGGAGCCCGAGGCGGGGCTGGATCCCAGGACCCTGGGATCATGACCCGAGCTGAAGGCAGACGCTTAATGACTGAGCCACCCAGGCGTCCCCTCAGAATTTTTTTAAAGTAAAGTTTAATCTCTTTGGAATTGGGGAAGGGGCATAAAATTCTTCCCGTTGGCAAATTCACTTTTTTATCTTTTCCTCCAATAGTGAGAATGTTTTCTTTTTGTTTCACACAGGCTCTATTCTTAGAAACTTACACCCAATCTCCTCTTCTGCTATCCAAAGATTCCCTTTTGATTTTAAGACAAATAAGTTTGAGCAGTTGCAGTAAAACTTCACAGGTGTGTAACTAGGAAAGCAACATTTTCAAAAGATACCATAGGATGAGAACTACTAATGATCACTAAAAGCAAACAAATAAAAATGCCAGTCTCATTTCCCTCATTTCTTACTTAAGAGAAGAGAAGTAAATGAAAGGAGGAAGAAATAGGTTTGCAATTAAAAGATGGGGCAGAAAGACAGAGCTGAACCAATGCAATTTAGCCTTCAGGTGCAGGATCCTCAGAGTCCAAAGGAATGTGGAATGGATTTAATTAGGCGCCATTGTCTTCATCCTGAAAGTAAGCAGCTAAACCTCATTTCCAGTATTTTGAAATAGCTTCCTTTTTGTTTCTTTCAATGGTGCCCTTTTAAAGGCATACAGTTGTTCCACGCCACTGAGTGGAGAAAGAAAGATTGTGAACCCTCTACTATCCTTCTAGGGCCACATTCTACGTTATTGGCAGATTTATAAGGATATCAATAATAGCAATGATAAGTAATAGCTGCCCTTGTGTTAGTTAAAGGGAGCATTTTTAATCATTCAAAAACTGTTGTGACATGTAAAGTGCAGTTGTGAGGAATGTGTGGGTGTACGAAAATGTATCTGTCAATTTCAGAGTCCTCTAGATTAAAAAAAATTAAGACTTATCAATGGTGCCATTATAGCTGTGTCAGACGATGGGTGTGCCCATTCTCACAATTATCCTTGAAATAAATCTATGTTAAAATGCTTTAAAAAATTATCACATGATACAAGAGTATAACTTCTAGAGTTCTTTTTCTTTTATTTTCTTTCTTATTTTTTCCTTCAAAAATCAATGAAGACTTGATTTCTGTCAATAATTGTATTAAGGGTGAATATACTACCTGAATTTTGTGCATGTTACATTGTAGTTGTAACCTTTTCTAATTCAGGATGAATACGAGATGGTTGTGATTGTGCAGTGTATCAATAAAGTTCGAAGAAATTTGTAACTTTTGGGGGGCTGTTTATTAGGACATCTTACTGAGTATCCAGGAATGGAGAAAAGCAGGCTATGCTTTTCCCATATGCTTCTCTCATATGTGTGTATAGGCTTTGGGGAGTGATGTAGTCAGAAAACTGAGTAGCCTCCCCACTCTCTCTCTCTCTCTCTCTCTCTCTCTCTCACACACACACACACACACACAGAGTAGAAGGCATTCTAGGTATTTTCCATATTATACCTATATATCTAATATCTATGCCATTTACAAGTAATATAAAATGTAGCTGCAGCCTCAAAGTCTAAATTATTTATTGACCTAAGCTAAAATGAAATCAGAAAAGAAGTTTCAGAAAAATAATGACCAGATTCTGCTCAGTTTGGACACTCCTTAACAGTTCCTGTGGTTTGAATCCACTGAATTAAGAAACATTTTGACAAGAGTAAGTATGAGAAAATATGGTGACTATGCTATACATTTATTATTAAAAGTGTATTTCATTGGATTGTCTCTCCATCTTAGGTTTATTATTGTATACATATGGGAAATAGCCTAAGAAAGTGACCTGGAGAAGAAGTTCCCTTCCTCTGATTGCCTTTTCTGAAACAGACTTCTCTTTCAAGAAAACTCCAACACCTCTACCTTCATCACACGCCCATCTGCTTTTCTGAGGGAATGGATATTAACCTGTTTCTTACAACTTAGCTAGCTCATCTTTATACATCAGCTAACCCTTCCTAGTTTGGCCATTAACTATATATGTGATCTTGGACTGGACACTTGACCTTGCTTCTCTTTGATTCCTCATCTGCATCAATTTTGAATTTATACGTGATGGTAAGTTCTAGTTCAAAATTCTCAGGGCAGTTTTTGTTTCTCTTTCAACAACTGGATTTATCACGACTACCCCCAAATAAGGCCTATGGCCAAAGGTTAATTAATAGTTTTGGAATTCAGCAGAAAGTGAGTTGAAATTCTTCAGTTGACTTTACAGCATGGCTATCTCCTCTGGCCAAGACCCTGAGCTAGATTTATGAGGCTTATTTCTTATTGGGTTCCTAGGTAGACAAGGGCTCATTTCCAAACTTTTAAAACTCAGTCTCCCCCACAGGGGATGGAACACAGAGAACTCGATAGACTAGGTCATGTTCTTCGTAAATTAAAATACCAAGGAAATGGTGGTACCAATGATTGAGAGTTTCCAGTTTCCTCAGACTCATTGTAAAATTATAACTTATCAGGGAAACAAAATCCAGTTCCCCTTATCATCTTAATACCTTTAGTGCTCCCCTTTACTGCCTCCTTTTTCTTCTTCTTTTTAATCATCCTCTTCTCATCCACACCTGACAGTCTCCTGCTTCTGTTCATACCACAGCATTTACCCATCTATTGGCTCTCCTGCTGGCATAGACATTCACTGGTCTTTCATTGCATCTGGCCACTCAGCTCCATCAGTTTTCTGTGTACCAATTTATTCTTCCATTAGCAAACCACTCACCTCTTCATTCACATATTATTTCCCCATTTATCTAACCTTTATTCTATCTATTTTCTCATGCACTTCCATCATATTAC